TGGGGACAATCCAGAACTGATCCAAGGTGTCTTCTCTCTTTCCCAGGCTAGCCCACCTTCAGAGTTCCTCCCCCCCCCCCCCGTCCCCTCCCCCCCTCCTTTCCACTGGGCGTTGCCTTACCTGTCCTTGCCCTTCTCTATCACCCGGCTAATAGTGGGCGACTCTGTGATGCCCACTTGGACTCTCTGCTGGCCTGGAATGAGAAAGAGGTCACAGTGTGAACCCTGACTCCCCCAAATGGCTCCCCCCCCTTTAGCGCTCTCCATCTGGCCTTCTCCCCTCTGACCTCTGACCTTCCTCCTGCTCTAACATGTCCATCAGGCCATTCATGGCATCTGAATCCACTGTGTCTTCCTCCACCAGGTCCATGGAACCAAGAGGGTCGGCGGGGCCATGCACATCCTCCAGCAGCTGCCCCGTGAACCGCCCTTCACTCGTGGCGTCCGAGTCCTCAGCCTTGCTGCACTCCAGGGAGGAATCTTCGGCCGTCACCAGCGAGGGCGTCAGCCCGGAGGACCATACCTGCATGTCCGACATCTCCAGGAGGGCATCCTGCTCGCTGGCAGCCATGGGGATGGCTTCCAGGATGGCCACCTCATTCCAGTATTGGTCGGCACACAGCGGGGAAGGCAGAGCGTAGTGCATGGAGGCGGGGGACAGCAGCTCGTCCTGCAGCGAAGCATAACCTGCGTGGGCAGACAGAGGACGACAGACTGACACACTGAACTGGGGGGGCGGGGGAGGGGAGGGAGGCAGGATTCAGCGGCCCTGTCCCTCTGGACAGCGTTGTTCGACCCCTTGGCAAACTTTTAAGAGGTGGGAGGATTCTGGGAGTTGAAGTCCACGCCTCTTAAAGGTCGCCAAGGTGGAGAAACAATGCTCTGGGTTATTGCACGCATCAAAGGGTCTCCAACCCATGGAGTTGGATTGACAGCTTCCTGGACCCAGCACCACCCGGGGGAAGGGAGTAAAATTGCACCAGGGAGAAAAGGGGAGAGGGGAGGGGTACTTGCTCTCGTTGAGAGAGCAAGGGGGAAGAGAAGGGGAGCCAGGAATGCAAGGTGGATCTCACACTAACTTGAACTCTTAACACGAAACTTTCCCAATCTCGGTATGGGGGAGGGGGAGGGACGTCAATGCCCAGAACTCCTAAGAGGGACTTTGCAGGAGGAAGATTCTGGGATAAAGTCTATGTATCGGGCATGGGGGCGGAGTCAAGAGGTGGGCTCTGCATAGAGTTAAGGCAACAATCAAAGTATTGTTTGTTGTTTCTTATGGAATGTCTTCAAGTTTGGGAGTGAAGGGGGGAAAGGAAAAATTGCCCCTGGGTCCTTTCCTTTTAACAGATTGACAGAGTTGGAAGGGACTTTGTAGGTCATCTAGTCCAACCCCTTACCCAAGCAGGAAACCCTACACTATTTCTGACAAATGTCAGTCCAGTCTCTTTTTGAAAGCCTCCAGTGATGAAGCTCCCACAACTTTTGAAGGGACCTTCTGTTCCACTGGTTGATTGTTCTCCCTGTCAGGAAATTCCGCCTTATTTCTAGGTTGAATATCTCCTTGTTAAGTTTCCATCCATTGTTTCTTGTCTGGCTTTCAGGTGCCTTGGAAAATAGATTGACCCCCCCCCCCTCCCTCTTCTCTGTGGCAGCCCCTCAAATACTGGAAGACTGCTATCCTGTCTCCCCTGGTCCTTCTCTTCCCTAGACTAGCCAGGCCCAGTTCCTGCAACCGTTCATCATATGTTTTAGCCTCCAGTCCCCTAATCATCCTGGTAGCCTCCAGTCCCCTAATCATCCTGGTTGCTCTTCTCTGCACTCTTTCTAGAGTCTCAACATCTTTTTTATAGTGTGGTTTTAATGCTGAAACCCCATGGATGCTTCTTGTCCTTGGACTAAGGGCGACACGATACAGTACTAATAGAGGGGGGTCAACATTTTCCAAAGCACCAGAAGACAAGACAAGAATCTCTCTATCTATCATCTATTTATTAACTATCTATTTATCATCTATCATCTATCAATTATCTATCCATCTATCTACCTATCTACCGGTATCTATCTATCTATCTATCTATCCTCTATCTATCTATCTATCCATCCATCTATCCATCCATCCATTTATCTACCTACCTACCTATTTACCTACATCTATCTATCTATCTATCTATCTATCTATCTATCTATCATCTATCTACCTACCTATCAGAATTGTATATTTTTAGGCTCCTATTTGCTAAACATTGCAAAGTAGCTGCCTCCAACTTCTCCTTTGGCAGAATCCCTGGACCGACCATTTCCATGGGCAAAAGGGCCATGAATGCTTGCAGCCATCCAGAGTCACTCAATAGTGAGCCCAGGCAGCATATACATTTAATTAATAAATAAATAACTGCTTGCAGGAAGTTATAGGCCCATCCAGAGAGCATTGGGGGGGGGGAGCTCCTCTGTAAGTACCCTGTCCATCGTGGCATTTTTTTTCAACCATAAAATTACAGGAGGGTGAAGTGGTGCAAAAGAAGAGAGCTCTAACTTTGGCAAAGAGGAAGGGAGGAGCAAAGGATGAAGGGGGAGGGACTTTCAGAAGAAAAAAGGTTGCGTGGTCTTGAGTAGGAGGAAAATGTGAGAAAGAAAGTCAAAATAATTTTGCTTGGCACCAGATGTTGCAGAGAAAAATTCACTCCATTTTTTTTTTCAAAGTTCTGCTGTTCTACCCTTCCACAGCGAATAACATTCCTGGAATCAGGAGTCCTGGGTGCTCTTGGAGCTGGCTGGTTTTCTTGCAGATGTTTCATTTCCCAAACCAAGTCCCAAACCAAGTTCATTTCCCACCACCGTCACTAGGACTGAGAAGAAGGACCAGACCTGATGATGTTACCTAGATTGGTAAAGGAAACGTCTGCCAGAAAACCAACCCAGCTCAAAGAGCACCCAGGACCCCTCACGTCAACCCTGAGTTACAAATATTCTTTTATTGATTCCAGGAACCTCTGCAGGGGCTGACCTCTGGTAAGGGCAGGGAAGCGAAAGAACGTGCGCCTCCCTACTCCCAAGGATTCAGTGTGAGTGTGACGATCGTTCCATGCAGCCACGAAACAGAACTTGCCCAGCTTCAGCCAGAGTTGGGTGTGTCCAGGTTCAGCTCAGGCCTGGGTTGTTAAGCTGCTGGAAGGCAAGGAAAGAAAGCAGCAGTAGCGGGGC